CGCTCACTGACAGAGACATGGTTGATCGGATATTGATCAGAAACTGGCCGCGATAGTCAAACAATTTGACCGTCAGCGCAGCAAAGCAAAGAGCGTTTTGGCTGGACATCGCTCACTGACAGAGACATGGTTGATCGGATATTGATCAGAAACTGGCCGCGATAGTCAAACAATTTGACCGTCAGCACAGCAAAGCGAAGAGCAAGAAACAACAGCATGGCGAATTGGAGTAATGCGCATGCTCCGCACAGTCCCGTGCGGAAACGCGGGAATTCGGAGTGCGTGCATGTTATGCATGTACAAGTGTTGCTTATGGCAAGGATGTTGGTGTGTTGCTAACTCCACTTACCGTGCCATGCACGGAAACTTATATGGTATGCACTCTCCTTGTGACATTTCTTGTTATCGAGGTTCAGTGACGATTTTCCACTGATAATGGTCATAAGAAAACGTTCTGGATTGCAAACGGAATGAGTATGTTGTTCTTTTTGTTCGTGTGCAAAACGATACAGCTAAGTATTTTTTAAGCACTCCTTCTACATGTCCGTGTGCGTGACTGTGTGTGTGCATGTGCGTGCGTATGTGTCTGTCCACACACACACACACGCACACACACACACACACACATACACACACACACACACACACACACCTAATTTGACCTTCTGACACCCATCATCCAAGTGGATGATAGCGATGAAGCCATAGCAAATAGTGCTGGGATTGCATCATTCAACAACTTGCAAGGTTGAAGAATTGACCACCACTATTCAGAATGGTCTACACCACACAGCACTGAAGTGGCTCACACACTTGTACTTGTACACACACACACACACACACACATACATACACATACACATACACACATACATGTACATACACATGCATGCACACGTGCATATACATAGACGCACACACACACACACACACACACACACACACACACACACACACACACACACACACACACACACACACACACACACACACACACACACACACACACACATACACACACACACACACACACACACACACACACACACACACATACACACACGCATACATCCACGTACATATACGCACACACGAACATACACACGCATAAACATGTACGAACACAATAACTATAATAATTTGTATGTGTGTATTATACACACACGTACTTGAAGAATACTCGTCATATAATAGACCAATCCCGAAAAGATTGTCTGGGTTCGTGAAAGGGGGCACGCGTGCAAGCCAGCACGTGTGAAGTGCATCGTTTTGTATTCAGTTTGTGTGTGTCAGCTCATGGCGGAGGAGAGAGAGACTTTTGCTCGCCGAGCTGAAGCTAAAGGATTTGATGGAGTCCTGCCAGCAGCTAGTCAAAGGACCTTCGGTACCTTAGTCAGACCCTGACGGAGTTTGGAGGCCAGATAGCTCTCGGTGAGGAGAGAAACATTCGCGTGGCGATCGACTCTCCGTAAAAAATGCAAGCTACATAGCGCCGACATACTGCAACAGCTACGATTTCAGCTAACTTCTCGATCTGCTGCTTCACAAAGTTCAACTATTTACAAGTCCTGACTGTTGTAGTCTGAAGCTGGAGTCTCATCGCCCACCTACAGGTAGCTTTTGGAGCTGATGGATTTCCCGACTTGGACTCCTCCCGCAAACTCTCGCAACATTACTACAGTGTATGCTGTGTTTCCGCACGCTCGTGTCGACATGTCACATACTGTACATGTACCGGGTCGCGGAGGAGCTTGACGACCTCCGCTGACTCCAGGTTTCCGAATGACTGCCGTCGTCTTCGTTGATGTCGCTGGTGACATTCTCCCCTTGCAGGACGTGCACATAGTTGTCGTCCCGGGGGTAAAGACTATGTTGTCTTTCGAAATAGTTCTTCATCACGCTCGCTCGAATGATGTTTCTCATCATGAACTCGTTCCGACGGTGTGACACGGCGATGGTCTTTGGCGGGGCACTGGCTTGGCGAAAACGATATCTTCTTGTGCAATATAACATTGATCGGCTGCGGATGAGTACAGTCACTTCGTGGTTGGTCCTATAGGAGGGCAGCTGCCAGGAAAGAGGCAGGACTCATCGAAGACGAAGCGCTCGCAACAAACAATAGCACTTGAAATATCTTGTAAGATTTAGGGCCTATCGCTTTGAGCCACAGCGCTCACAGCCTTGCCTACTTCATCAAAGTAAGCTCTACATGTTCGTTGACCTCTTCACACTACACAGAAGAGCGAAACAAGGATTATGTCTTAGCATTTCAACTCCAACAGCAAACCATTACCAGTGCGAGAGAGACAACTACAAAGGGCTTCGCTTTCTCTCGCATCGTCTCTCTTGCATGCAACTAACGAGAAAATCGTGTACTTACCCTCGCGTTTACACGCGAACTATCAAACACGTCCTGTGCCGCATGCTGATCAGGTAGTGCCATGTATGTGTTGTACAGTGTACTCTCAGTTGACATGCCCCCTTTCGAACCCAGACAATCTTTTCGGGATTGGTCTATTCTAATATCATCATGAGATCCCTCTAGAGAGGAAACAAGTGAATTGCAAAAACAACATCTTAACATTACTACACTATTACCAGATGAAAATATTTGCCAAGAAACCTGCCACCAGTAAAGACATTGCACTATGCACAAGTAAGAACTATGTGAGTGGCAAGGTGATGATGCTATGAATATTAGTTCTCAATGATCATTTTCATCAGTGTTTTCTATTCTCTCATTTCTACTCACTCTATACAAGAAACATTTAAACAAAATTCACTAAACAATCTACAAACATACAAACAGACGTGTCGTCCCAGTCCATAAGAAACGGTCAAAGTCAGCCCCATCGAACTATCGGCCCATTTCCCTCCTGTCGCTCATCTCCAAGACAATGGAAGCAGTTGTTAACCGTGCTCTCACCAACTTTCTCGAACGAAATAATATACTCTCAAACCACCAGTTCGGTTTTCGTCGAGGGTTAGGACCTGCTGATCTCCTAACAGGACTACACCACCAATGGAGCAAGATAGCAGCTGCTGGCGGTGCTGTACGTATTGTTGCCGTCGACATTGCGGGGGCCTTCGATAAAGTCTCCCACGCAGGTGTCCTTCACAAGGCAAAGGCTTACGGAGTGTCCGGGAACCTCCTCAAGTGGCTCCACAGCTACCTGGCGGATAGACGAATCCAGGCCGTTGTGAGTGGACAAACCTCACCTAAATTCCGAATCAGCTCAGGTGTGCCGCAAGGGAGCATACTGGGCCCCACTCTGTTCCTCCTATATGTCAATGACATGGAGGACCACCTCCCAGCCACAACCCAGCTCGCCATATATGCAGATGACACCACGCTTTATCAGTGCATTCCATCCCTGACCGCTCTCCCAGTTGGCCTAGCGCAGCTCCAGACTGCTGTGGATGCCTTAGCTGAATGGGGCCAGAGCTGGAAGATCGCATTCGAGCCGACAAAGTCGCAAGTCTTGACAATTTCGCATCACCGTCAACCCTGGCCGATTCCTCCAGCCACTTTCAATGGGGTGGCCATAGAGGAAGTGGAGGAGCTGAAGTTGCTCGGAGTGCTCTTTGATCGGAGCCTCTCCTTTCGCTCCCACATTCGACAGGTTGCAGTCCGTGGTCACCAACGTCTTGGCTTCATGAGGAAGGCCCTGCCCATTCTCGACAGCAAGGCCAAGTATGCAGTGTATCGCGGCTTCGTCCGCCCAGTACTTGAGTACTGCCCGCTTTCATGGTTGGGTGCGTCCCAGTCTACCCTGAACCAGCTGGACCGGGTACAGCACCGAGCCCTAAAGCTCATCGGCCCAGGGTCATACCTCCCAAGCCTCACTGTTCGGCGTCAAGTCGCAGCACTCACATTCCTGTACAAGCTGCATTGGATCGACGGTCCCCCAATCCTGACCACCATGACACCACCGAGGGCAGTTGCAAACCAGCACCGGCGCTCCACTCGCCACCAGCAAAAGAACCAGCACCAGCACCAACTAGCACCGACACTGCCCGCCGGAGCCCGTAATAGTGCTCTCCGATCATTCCCCCATGCCACGATCCAAGACTGGAATCGTCTCCCATCTGCCCTGCTACGCAACCTTCCCACGCAGAAGGGAATGCAGGCATTCAAGGAAGGCGCCTACAAGTCGCTCCGCAGCCGAGACTGGCGTTCAGCCACAGATGCCCTCTGAACACTCCCTGAACACCCTCTCTGCTTGCACCCTGGCTCCCCCCTTTTTATTTTTTTATATTTTTTATTATTTTTTATTTTTATTTTTTATTTTTTATTTTCTTCCTCTATCACATGTATCATCTTTCCGTTTTTCCTTCCTCTATATAAATGTACCCCCCCTCCCCTCCCCCTGTGCCTACTGCTCCCCAGTTTTTGGTGCTCTGAAGTGTCGCTGAAGCTGAGACCTCAGGTCGGCGGAGATGCTCCAGTTTTCACCACCACAGTTGCGTCTGCAACCACCCCTACCATGCAGTATTCTGTTCTCGAGGTTCGTGGTTTCTCGTAAAAAAAAAAAAAAATACAATGTATATGTACATGTATATGCAAAGAAATGATCACACATATCAACTAAAACCACATCAACAAAAACCAACAATTCAATGACAATTATTCTATCAGCGACAGTCCAGAATTATCGAAAAAAATTACGGAGGGAAAACATCGAAGTGCAGGGTCCAAAGTCTAAAGGTCAAAGGTCAACGCAGTGATCCCTCAAACTGACTGAAAATGAAGAAAGGAATGTCCATCGGTAACACAAACGTACAGACACACATGCATTCACACAACACACACGCTCAAGTATATACATACACGCACTTACAAGCACGCACACGCAGCAATACTACCACGCATGCACACAAACACACGTGTACTCCTAATCACATACACAGACGGACTGTATGCCAGGAGGAAGTGATAGACGAAAACGAAGCTTTCTGCATAAGGACGGAAATCCGTCCATGTCAATCCTCTCACCTCCTCATTCCTCACTCTCACTTTCTCCTTCATCGCCGTACTCGTCTTCTTCTCCGTCATTCTCCACTTCGTCGTAAAAACGAATCTGCGTATACCGCACATTCAGATCATCTCTGGCCATGGCACTTAGAGCTTCGCGCAGCCGCGGAGACACTAGAGCTCTTTCAGGCATCACCAGCTCCTTCAGAGACGAGCAGCTCTCGACAGCGGTGGCGAACAGCTTTGCTTCGTCGTCAGCATCTCGGAAATCATTCCTCGGAACTCTGAGCGCGGAGAGCTTGGGCAGACTGGGCAGCAGGGACGCAAGCACCGGCAGAGCTCCCGACGAGAGGCAGTCGTCGTCCAGGTACAGCTGCTCTAGGCGTCGGGACTGACTCAGCTCACCACGAATGGTTTCCAGGAAATCTCCAGGTAGCTCATTGCGACGGAGTGAGAGGATCTCCAAACTCTCGTGTTGCTGTTGAATGATTCTACTGACGATCGTAGCCGAGTTCTGCTTCATCCCAACCTTGCGCAGCTCCAGCCTTCTCAGCCTCAGTGCTCCTAACAATGGTGCTAGCTGGGTTAGACCTTCCATATCCAGTACGCAGTCATCGAGACTGACGTACTGGAGATCTGGGCAGCTGCTGCAGACTGTGGTGATGACGTCAAGGTTGACTGCTGGATCGGTGCACTTTTGACCTCCAAAGTTCACTCCCAGCAGTCCTGTACAGCGGTGTGTGTTGCTGTGGACGGTGGCCATAGCATTGCTGCTGAAGAGGTTCCCGGTTGTGTAGAGGTATCGCAGTGTTGACGTGTTGGATGCGATACACGCTGCGATATGGGCCGTGTGACGATCTGTTAGGTTGTTCAGTGGCAGGTCGATGTACGTAAGATTGCGTAGTAGAGCCATGCCATCAGCCATGCATGCGTACCCGGTATCACCTATACCACAGTTGTGCAGGCTGATGCGGGTGATGAACTGGTGGTGGTGAATCATGACTGCGTTGATGGCCTGGCAATCGGAGGGCGAGAGAGGAACCTCGTCGAAATCTACTCCGTACTGCTTGATGATGGCTTACATACTGGGGATGTCTTCGATTCTGCGTTGCTGGGCGTGGACGTGCTCAGCGAAGACCCGGAAGGAATAGAGGATTCGTTGCTTTCGTTCCGCGGCACTGACGTTGTCCTGGGCTGCATTTGGCTGAGCTTCTTCGTCGGATTGAGGAACTGGCGGTAGCTTGGACGTGGGAGTGACGGTAAAGCATTGAATTGCCGATCCTTGTGCCTCGTTCGCCAGGCAGTCGTGCAGAATTTGTGTACTGGCACTCGGGACCCGATCCGTCCAAATGGCTAGCAATGAACGAACGAAATGCTGGCAGGTGATTTTGGTGACGGCTGGGTCAATCTTGCGGCGGATCACTTCCGAAGCAGACGCCAGGTTGATCCTGCCGGCCAGCAACTCTTCTGCAAGATGCTCTGCTTCATCCAGCGATAGAAAGGAGGAAACGTGATCAGCCCATGCCATGATGTGGTCGTGTGTTGTGAAGAGAAAACACGTCACGTTGTGACTCTCTGCTCCTGTGGAATGCTGGTCGGTATCCCGTGGCTGAGTAGACGATGTGGACTGAGGATTGACAATGGCTTCAACCAACACATTGACGGACTCACTGTCCAGCTCAGTGGCGAGTAAGCGCCAAAACATGTTGAGGCTGCCCGTGAATGCTCCAAGGCGCTGCACAAGCCAGGCGACGTCAGCTGCACTGGGGTTGCGTCTAGCGATGTAGCGAGATGCTAGAGCTTCCTGAAGTGCTAGGTGGCTGAAACGCCACTGAGCCCTGGACTTTGGTGATGCCGTGTCGCAGGCGATGAGCATGCCGAGTGTGCGAGCTGCCGATGACAGTGAAAACATGTTGAAATCGGCATCCGTGAAGACGACTTTTCGACGGACAAGCATGTTAAAAGCGAACCGGGAGAGATCATGTAGATTTTCCTGCACATCATGGGGAACATCATCCCAATCGGTGTATTGCTCACCATCATGCCGCTGGCTTTGATTTCTGCTGCTGCAGTATATGAAGGATCAGCGAGTCGAAGATTGCAGACGGCGTGTTGGGCAGACGATGGCTGTGTCGGTGTAGGCTGCATATTGCTTTGGCGAAAAACGGTGTGCGCATCATTGTGGCGAGCTCTGGGTTGCTGCGAAGCTCTGCTAGCAACTTGGCTGCATCGTCTGACGACAGAACATTGCAAATGTAGTGCTCCAAACCCTCCTTTTCGAAGCCCAGCAGCTCCAGACGACGATGGAAGACTATCTCCCTGCTTTGTGTCAGCTTCATTGCTTCTGCTGAATGGCGTGACTTGATGATCAGGTTGATTCCCGGCAATTCTTTGCCCCGGATGACGTCGATCATGAACTTGCTGCAGTCGGCGAGTTTTATCTCGTCGAGGCTGTCGAGAATGATGCAGACAGACTCAGGATGATTGCAAATAAAATCAATGACTTCAGCCTGCTCACCTGGTTTTGTGATGCCGTAATTTTGCAAATCCAGCAGCTCAGCGATGCTTGTGATATTGCGCACTTCTGCCAAACGCAGCTCCAGTGCACGCAGGACAGCGATGTGTGGCCAGATATGCCCTCTTGCCCATTCATACGGACCCTTCTTGGTGAAGAGCATGGTTTTGCCAGCTCCAGCTGATGAGAAGGCAATGGTACGGAAAGTCTTCCCGTGCATGCGTTTTCGCATGGCTTTCTTGACAGTGAGGATTTCGGCAAGTTTCATCTTGCGCAGCTTCCTAGCTTCAGACGCAAAGGAATGAGCCAGCTGCTCATTGCCTGCAGTTGTGCCAAGTCTCTCTGCTTCACGCATCCTAGTGTTTAACTTCTGCTTGGACACTACATGGAGATCAGCATAAAGCTCATCCATTTGCAAGATTCGTTCCTTCTCAACATTAGTCTCTTCTATGCAAAACTGCACATTGCTGTAAGCAGCACACAGACGGTCACGATATTTCTTCACTGCAGCAGGAAGTGAGCTTGCTCGTGCCCCCATGCTGCAGATGCACAGTAGGGAAAGCAATAGCTACACTAGAACAGGCACTGGTTACTAGTACTGTAGAGCAAGCTAGAGAGACCAGCTACAGGTACAGGTAGCTGTAACCAAACTGTATGATCAGCTACAGGTACAATCGTAG